GCCTTCATCGTATCCCAAACGTTTTGTTTCGTGGTTTCTCCGTTATCATTTTCTTTAATAAAAAAAATCAATTCCTCCTTTAATTTATTAATATATTCTTTCTCTCTTATTAATTGAGTGTTTAAGGTCCATCTTTTCTTTGGTTTTGCCCTGCCCTTCCATATTACCTGTATTGGATTATGATCTGCCCATTCATTAGGCAAAATTTCCACTTCTTTTGTCTCATTTGCTATCTCTCCACTCATCCATGCCATATCAATCCGTGTCCATGTTTGGTGGGGATTTGAATAAAATGTAAATTGTCTTTTTTCAGGATGTAATCTTCTCCATATATCTGTCAGATTTAGCTCTTTCATCATTTCCCTACAAATCTTGGGGAGCTCTCTCTTCCCCTTTTTATTCTTCCCGGCATTACTGTGATCCTTTTGGAAATCAGCAATGGAGTTGAAGTCCCCTACCATACAAATATTTCTTTTTTGCAATTCAACCAATTTTCCATATAGGTGTTTAAAAAACTCTTTTTGGTCTCCATTTGGGGCATATATTACTACTAAAAGAATTGGAATATCATTAATCCAGATCTGCAAACCCAGAGTCCTTCCTTCTAAGTCCGACCATATTAGCTCAGATTTCAAATCCTCTTTCACATATACTGCGATTCCCTTCTTTTTCTCCTCATCTGCTGGTGTGGTAAATAATTTTCCTAATTTCGGGCATTCTAAATATTTTTCATCCTTCTTTATATGGGTTTCTTGCAGGCACGTTATATCTGCATTATGTTTAATTAATTTAGATAATATCCTTTTTCTCTTAATTGTTGAATTTAAACCATTTATGTTTATTGATAGTAATTTTTTTTCTTCTCCCATCTATTTAGTTTTGTTTTGCTCTTTGTCGTGTAACAATTCCTCTCTCTTCTTGCGCTTGTATTGATGTAGTTCCTTCTGTCTTTTGTTGTGGATAGGTATTTTCTTGGTTTCCTACCGTTCCAGTTCTATTTTTATGTCCACTGTATTCTTCTTGAAACTTTGTGTCCAATTTCTCCCTACTACTTTGCTCCTGTGGGCCCACCATCCGTTCGTAAAAATCCTGGGCTTTTCCCATAGCATCTATTTTGATTTTCCTCTCTTTCCACGACACTAACATTCCTTCTGGAATAAGCCATTTAAATGTGATTCTTTTTTTATTTAAATATGCTGCCAGGAATTTATAGTCACGCCTTTGTTCCCTTATTCTCCTCGGTATCTGTCTAAGAATCACAATTTCTTTCTCTTTGTAGGTTATAGTTTTATCTCTTGAGGTTCTATATATCATGTCTCGAACACATCTTCTAGTGAATCGTATATGTACTTCCCTAGAACAATTGTGGCGTCTTGCATAATTTGTATTGACCCGGTAGACTTCATCAAACTCTTTTTGAATTTCATCTTTATCCATCTTCAATAAACCGGCCAGTATTTCTGCCATCAAGTATTCCAAGTCTTCTTCTTTTGATTCTGTCACATTTTGGAATCTTAGGTAAGTTGCTGCCTTGTCCATTTCTAGGAGGACAAGGGAGTCCTCCATTTCTTTGCTCATGCTTTTGAGATCTTCATCCACCCTTTCTAATTCCCTTTCTGTTCGTTCGGTTCTTTTCTCTACTTCTTTTATTATAACTTCGTTTTTCTCCAAGGCCTGCTGCAACACCCCCACTTTATCCTCTACTTTAGAAATGTCCGCTTTCATTTCTGTCTTTAGTTTCCCCATTTCTTCCTTCAATTCATTGATATCTGCCCTTGTTTCACTGTGGTTTTTAATCATTGTTTCTTGCAATCTTGTCAATGAGTCCTGTAAAGTTAGGAACATTGCTTGGATATTCGCATTTGAGATGCTAGTTGACTTCTCTGTTGGTAGTGTTTCCTCTATTGTTTTTTGTGCCATGGGTGAAGTTGTTGTCAAAGTAGACATTATTGTGGGATTAACCTTCCTACCAGATTTCAAAGCAGTGGTAGTTGTAGTAGTCATTTCCTTTAAAATTTGTTTTTGTTGTTGTACAATATTGAATATATTATTCCAAATTGGCATTCAGTATTCTTAGTTCTGTAACTAAAATTGACCAAGATCTATCAACCTATTAAGTAGCTATATTCTTGACTAATTAGTAAAGTGTATATATTTTTCTCTAGTTTAACTTCAATATAAAGTAACCTTAACTATAAAATATATTACATTCACAGATAAACCCACACAAAGAAATATAATATTGGTCTAGAGAGCTCTAAGCTTATTAAGTAACTAATGCTTAATATTCTTACTGTCTCCCCTATATTCCCATTCAAATTATAACAATCTCTATTAATAATAACTTAACTAAATTAATCCAATATTTTAACACTCTAATATTTCATTACTAAATGTACATATTTATCAAGAGGAAATCAGAGGGGAAAAAAAAAGCAAGCATATTTCAACATAGCATACCATCAACAAGTAAGAAAGAAGAGAGGCTATTTTAGTAAGTATGTACACACAGAAAAGGGTTGAGGAAAAGAAAAAAGAAAATTCCAAAGACAAGAGTTTTTGTTTCCGCTTTTCACTTTGGAAGCTTCCACTTCTAGCACACCGGAAATGGCAAATGAAGATTTGCTGAGTAACAGCTGCCAGTAAGCAATATTCCCACTCGTTTCAGCGTTCTGGGTACTGCCTATGGAGTTGCTCTGTCTTTCCCCCCGATCGGCTTCGTTCTGCTTCTGGATCCAATTTAATAGCTTCAATCCAAATGTTAGTGATAATAGAGTCTTCAGACTTCCAAAATTCTCTTTACTTCTTTTTTATTTCCGACTCTCTTCTGCCTGCCAAGCTCTTTCACATTCACTAAACCAATTCTTTTGTAGCCGCTTCGTCTTGGAGCTCACAGCTGGCATTCACACAGTATTTAACAGCCTGAAATCAGTCTATTGTCAGTCAAATATCTTCTCTGCCACGACTCTCTTTCCCCCCGAGCTTGCAAACTTTCACTCACTTTTTTCTTCCCATCGGTGGCAGTCCGGACTTCGGAGCCTCCATTGTTAGGAGGCTGTTCTTGATCGTTGGGCTCTGGAGGGCTTCCTCTTCGTTACAGGGGGGTTGCTTTCCCCACACTGCAGCCTGAGGTTCCCCCACACCGGCACGGGTCTCTCCAAGACTCGAGCACCCCGAAAGATCGCACCAAACTCAAGAAAAGGGAGGCTAGAATCACGAGCGGATTTCTGCCCCTCTAACCGTCCTTGCCTTGCCACCTCTTTCTGTTTTCTTTCGTTTTGGAGCTGTCCCAACTTCAGCAGCTTTAATGGCTGCCCCTTTGCCGCTGGCAAGAAGAGCTTCTCCTGGATCTACCAGAGACTTTGTGGTATCCCTGGGATCAACAGGATGCACTCTTCACTTTCACCATCTCTTCGGGATGGTTTAGATCCGATAGGACCATCCAGGAGCAAAGATATCGGCAGCGATCTCAGACCTCCAAGATCGCATGCCGTATCGTCGCGATGCCAGCTCTGCCGTCCCAACGCAGGGGTATTTTAGAAGACATTATATTCGAGAAGCATTGTTTCTAAACTGGGAGAAGTTAAAAAAGCAATATTATTTAAAAATTAATATATAAATTATGTTATATTATTTATTAATAATTATTAATAAAGTTAATATATAAAAAGGAACAAACGGATATGGTGAGATATTGAATGAAAAGGGTGAACTTAAATCTATGCAAGCGTTGGAAGAACAAGGTGTACAAATGAATTGGTTTTCATATTTGCAAATACAATCTAGATTTGATAAAGAAGTTAAAACAAGGTATTTATGATAAGTTGACTGATTTAGATAAAATTTTGACAGGTACTGATGAAAAAGTAATTAAAAAACTTTATGGACATTAAGTTAAAGGAAAAGCAAGTAAAAGAAACAATGATTGGGGGAAAAATTTTGGATATGGGATTAAGCTAGATAAATGGCAAAAATTGTGGTCTCAAAATTATAAAATGACAATGTCAAGTACATATAAAGAAAATTTGTATAAGATGCTTTATAGGTGGCACTAACCCCTGACGAGAATTACAAGGATGTTCAAGAATAAATCGGATAAATGTTGGAAATGTCATCAGACATTTTACCATATGTGGTGGACATGCTCGGATGCAAAAAGATATTGGACTATGGTTGGAAAAAATGATAAAACAACGCATAGACTTTAAACCTGAGATATTTTTATTGGGAATTATACCGGAAATATACCGTAAAGAACTGAAATATTTGATTGTAAATGTTTTAACAGCGGCTAGAATTATATTTGCTAAGAATTGGAAAAATGAAAAAATACCTATGCAGGAGGAAATTATTAAGAAAATAATGGACTGTGCCAAAATGAGTAAATTGACATTTGAAATTAGAGAACAAGAAGATAAACAAGTTTATATGATATGGGATTTATTTTATCAATGGCTAGATAAAAAGACATGGTAAAGAAATAGATTAGTAAGCCTTACAATAAAAGTTAATAGATCGATATAGAATACAATATAAAATATATAACCATTGAATGAATGTATAAGATTAAACCATAATGAAATTTAGAATATCTCATATAAAATGATGGAAAATTAGTTTAGTCAAATGAATGTTTAATAATTGATATTACATAAGCACATGCTAGATTGATAAAGTGAGAATTTATATAACTTGTGAGTAATGGTAAGAAAGGATAGCACAAAAGATTGTAACCAACTGACACACTGTATGTATATAATTGAAAGAGGGTTTTATGTTTTTATGTTTTGTTTGTATGTTTGTTCTAAAAAATAAAAACTTTTTTTTTAAAGAAGAGATTGTATAACCATTTGTCTGAAATGGTGCAAGGTTTCCTGCCTAAGCAGGGGGTTGGACTAGAAGACCTCCAAGTTCCCTTCCAGCTCTGTTCTTCTATTCTGATATGGATCCCACTTCTTTATGTTATGTGTAAATCTGATGGATTCCTCTCTCCTCTTTAGTTTTGATGAAATGGCTAAGTATGACCTTCCTGCTTCAATAAATTTTGTCTTGAACAAAACTGGTCAGGAGCAACTCTTCTACGTTGGTCATTCTCAAGGCACCACCATAGGTAAGTTAACAAACTAGTTTGCGTAAATAACATTGGTAATTTTAATAGGTACGTAGGTGAAGTTGAATTTCATAATGCTTAATGGTAAAAAATAATTACGCCAAATACAGGTAAATAATCTGAATCAGTGTTCCTTAAATTGATATTTTGAAGATGAGTTATGACTTTAGCTTGTGGAATGTCTAATCTGAAGGGTATTTGCTTAGGAAAGACACATTTTTAATAGTGGAAAATATTTATGTTTGAAAGTTTGAATGAAGACTTTAAAGATTTGAAGTGACTCTGGATTGAATTAAAATGTCTTGGAACAAATGAACTCCCAAAATTCAGTTGAACTCTGTAATGGGATATGTGGAATATAGTGTGTCTGCACAATGGATTAAATCTTCCTCCGGGTTTGTTGCCTGCTTATTTTAAAAATGGCATACCCTATGTAACACAGCCGTTGTCTGTGGAAAAAAGAAATCAAGTTTTTTCAGCATAGCAAAAGAGGCTTTTATATCAAATTTCAGATAATTATTTTGAAAGCTGCTCTGGTTTTATAAAGAAAAATAGATGAAAGAATTGTTCAGGCACAGACAAAGTCCCCTTTGCCTTAATGATGCCAGCCATAAGCTGTGAAAGTTATGAAAAACACAATTGCTTTTGTGGAATATGCAACAAATTGTTTTCCTACTGATTTTTTTCAGCAGCATAGTTTAAGTTCTATTCATGTCTTTTGTGTTTCTCCTTTTTCCAGGTTTCATAGCATTTTCAGCTTTTCCAGAGTTGGCAAAAAAAATAAAAATATTTTTTGGATTGGCACCCGGTATGACTGCGAACTTTTCATCCGGTGGTTTGGTCAAACTTGCAGACGTTCCCGAACTGTTATTGAAAGTACGTGTTTTGTTTAAAATATTTGCTTGAACCACAAAGTGCAGCTGTTAGGTGATGCAGCTGAATACTACATTTCTTCTTGTACCTACTTGAACAAAAGACCGACATGCCTTTGAACAAAAGTCTCAACAAGGAATTCAGTTTTAAACAAACACTACCTGTGTGTGACTTGAGATGTTCTGGGCCATCATAAATGATGGCTGTCTATTCTGCTTCCTCCTCTTTTCTTCCCATAGCGGGGAAGAGTGTGGTTGAGCTGATAGAGACAGTAAGTGGCCCAAAGTTACTTTTTATGGATATACATTACCCCTCTCTCCAAAATTATTGAAAGCTGCCCATCAGAGGTTTGGAAAGAAAAAAACCCCACATAGAGATTAATTAACAGATTTAACAGATCAAGAGAGTTGGAAAGGAGCAACTCTGTTAATCTGAAGAGAATTAAAAAAGAGGAAGACAGAACTTCTGTCGCAGACAGAACTTTGTTGGCAATCCAAGTTAACAATCCAAGTCACATTGAATTGTGATCTCTTAGGAAAGTATCCTCAGATTAACAGATTTGGAAGGGACTTTGTAGGTCATCTCGCCCAAGCGGGACACCCTACACCATTTCTGACAAATGGCAGTCCAATCTCTTCTTGAAAGTCTCAAGTGATGGCACTCCCACAACTTCTGAGGGCAAGCTGTTCCATTGGTTGATTGTTCTCACTGTCAGAAAGTTTCTCCTTATTTCCAGGTTAAATCTCTCCTTGTTCAGTTTCCATCCATTATTCCTTGTCTGGCCTACAGACGCTTTAGAAAATAGCTTGACCCTTTCCTCTCTGTGGCAGCCCCTCAAATATTGGAAGACTGCTATCATGTCTCCCCTGGTCCTTCTCTTTACTAAACTAGCCAAGCCCAGTTCCTGCAACCGTTCGTTGTATGTTTTAGCCTCCAGTCCACTAATCATCCTGGTTGCTCTTCTCTGTACTTTTTCTAGAGTCTCAACATCTTTTTTATAATGTGGTGAGCAAAACTGAATGCAGTACTTTAGGTGTGGTCTTACTAAGGCTTTATAGAGTGGTATTAGTACTTCCCTTGATCTTGACTGTATCCCTCTGTTAATACAATTTAGGATTGCATTAGCTTTTTGGCTGCTGCTGCACACTGTTGGCTCATATTTAGCTGGTTGTCCACTAAGACTCCAAGATCCTTCTCACAGTTACTGCTATTGAGCCTGGTTTCACCCAATCTATATGTGTACTTTTGGTTTTTCTTGCCTAAGTGTCAGACTTTACTTTTCTCTACATTGAATTTAATTTTGTTAGATATGGCTCAGTGTTCTAGTTTGTCAAGATCCATCTGGATCTTGAGCCTATCTTCTTGGGTGTTAGCTATTCCTGCCAGCTTAGTATCATCTGCAAATTTGATAAGTTCCCCTTCTATTCCCTCATCTAAGTCATTAATGAAGATATTGAAGAGTACTGGGCCTAAGATGGAACCTTGTGACACCCCACTGCTTACTTCCCTCTATGTAGACTTAGACCCATTAAGGACTACTCGTTGAGTATGGTTTGCCAGCCAGTTGCGAGTCCATCTAGTGGTGGTGTTATCTATTCCACTTTTTTTCTAGCTTAGTAAGAAGTAGGTAGCGGTCTACTTTGTCGAATGCCTTGCTGAAATCTAAATAGATTATGTGCACGGTAATTTGCTGGTCTACTAATTTAGTCACTGTGTTGAAGAATGAAATAAGATTGGTTTGGCATGATCTGTTCTTAACAAACCCATGCTGACTACTAGTTATTACTTTACTTGTTTCTAGATGTTGGCAGACCTGTTTTTTTATTATCTTTTCCAGTATCTTCCCGGGTATTGATGTTAGGCTGATTGGTCTATAGTTTCCCGGGTCTGTTTTTTTTCCTTTTTTGAAGATGGGAACCACATCAGCTCTTTTCCAGTCCTCTTGTAGTTCCCCGGTGCTCTGGAATTTTTGAAAGATATGGTGCAGTGGTTCTGAGATGACCTCTGCCAGCTCCTTTAAAACTCTGGGATGTAATCCATCAGGCCCCAGTGATTTATTTTCATCAAGATCAGACAGGTGTTCTCTTACTATTTTTTTACTTATTTTAACTTTTATTCCTGGTCTGTCTTTTACAGTTATGTTTTTGTTGGGTTGAGCTATAGTTTCTGTTTGCGTGAAGATGGATGCAAAGAATGAGTTAAGCAGTTCTGCTTTCTCTCTGTTGCCTGATACTTCCTTGCCATCTTCTCTCTTTAGTGGACCGACTGTTTCCTTGATTTTTTTTTCTTGTTATTTATATGTTGAAAGAAACTTTTTAAATTATCTTTGACTTTTGTTGCAAGTCTTTGTTCGTTCTGAGCCTTTGCTATCCTGACTTCGTCTTTGCAGATTCTGGCTATCTGCTGATATTCTGCCTTAGTTGTACGTCCTTCTTTCCATTTTTTGTACTTGTCCTTTTTTTCTTTCAATTTGCCAGAGAGATCTTTGTGCAGCCATGCTGGTTTCTTCTTGGATTTCTTGTTTTTCTTTCTCGGTGGTATTGTGCTGGTTTGGGCTTCTATGATCATACTTTTTAAGAGTTTGCCAAGATTTTGAGTTGTTTTCCCCTTTAGGATTTTCCTCCATGGAATCTTTCCCAAGTTCTCTTCGAGTTTATTGAAATCAGCTCTTTTAAAATCCAAGACTCTGGTGTCATTATGTTCTGTTGCTTGTGTTTGTGTTATGTTGAATTCTAGTATGACATGGTCACTCTCACCCAAGGTTCCTGCAGTTTCAACTCCCTCTATCACTTCTTCTCTGTTTGTAAGAATTAAGTCCAGTGTGGCTGTCCCTCTAGTTTCACCCTCTACCTTTTGGACAACAAAGTTGTCAGCTAGGTTGGTTAGGAACTTATTTGATTTCTCTCGGTGCAGAATTAGTTTTCCAATTGATATCAGGATAATTGAAGTCTCCCATTACTATTGTTGTGTGTTTCCTGCATATGTTTGTTAGTTGGCTGGCAAAAAGGACATCTATATTTTCTGCTTGATTGGGTGGCCTATAATATACACGTATGGCCATGTCCTTCTTTTTTTCTTTTATGTTGGCCCATATGCATACTAGGAGGTTTTCATCTTTGGTTGCATGCATTTCTGTAGCAATATAGTGGTCGTTTACATACAGTGCAACTCCACCTCCTCTTTTATGAGGTCTGTTTTTTTAATAGTTTGTATCCTTCTACCAGTATGTTCCAGTCATGGGTTTCATCCCACCAACTTTCTGTTATTCCAACTATATCATATTTACCTTCATGTATTCGCAGTTCGAGTTCAACCTGTTTGTTCCCCAGACTTTGTGCATTTGTATACAGGCACTTGAGATCTTTATGTCTGACACTGTGTTTACTGTCTACATAGCCTGTGTTGTGCCTGCCTCCCTGTACTTTCTTGCCACCTTTTTGATTAATGCACATGGTATGGCACTCACTATTAAATGCTTGGTTTTGGTTGGCTTAGAGTTTTCTAGAATCTCAACATCTTTTTTATAGCGTGGTGACTTACTTTCACCACACTGTACAAAATTACTTTCTTGGCCTTGTTTCTTGCAGGAATCTTATTGTGTGGAATCTTAAAATGAGTATAAAGTGGGGGAGGGATCCTAATTGAAGAAACAAGTGAACTACTATAGATTAGATTTCACTTTGAATGGATTTGTATGTGAAAAAAAAAGTGTTGAAAGCAGTTCTTCTGATTATCAGTCCCAGCTTACAGGTAGACCTCTTAACCACCATTGTTTTATAAACTGTTGAAAGTTACAGTGGCACTGAAAAAAGTGATTTATGACCATTTTTCACACGTACCATAGTTGGTGCATCCCTCTGGTCACTTGTTCAAAAATTCAGATGCTTGGCAACTGACTCATATTTATGATGGTTGCAGTGTCGTGATCTTCTGACAAGCAAAGTCAATAAGGAAACCAGATTCACTTAACACTTAACTAACGTAACATTTGCAGTGATTCACTTAATAACAGTGGCAAGAAAGGTTGTAAAATGGGGCAAAACTCACTTAACAGTTGGCTCAATTGTAGTGATACGTATATTCTTCTGGTGCAGTCAAAAGCTTATAAGCCCTGTGTTAGGCTAACCCAAATCTTGCATAGATAAAATTAAAAAATGAAATGGTATGACCTACTTTCAGAGGACTTGTTCCACATTGTACACTTCGGGTTTCTGCATGTTGTTTTATTAAACATTAAGGTTAAGTGGCATCCTCGGTAGTAACACCAGTCCTGTAATGCAAAAGATCATCTTTGCTGCCAATATTCTGTAGCTTAATTATTGAACATGCCGTCGTAGGGAAAAATTTTACTCTGAAGTGCCATGAATTCAGTACAAAAACCGTAGCAGGAAAATCGATCAATGCTTCCGCAGAATATATCAAAGAAAATAGAGCTTGATGATTCTGTAATGATAATGTTTATCATTTAAACAATGTCCCCCAGTGCATTGGTTTGGCTCATTCTGCCAGATCGAGAAGGAGAGATGTTCAGTTGCTCCAAGTTCTATATTGAGTTGGTGCCTAGAAAATACTTGAATTGAATGCTGTGTGTTTTACCTGTTCTTACTATTGAGAGGTTCTACTGCCAACTTCTTTGAACAGATAAGTGTTTATTCAGGTTGAGAAAAAAAGAGCAGTAAGTGATTGCCTTGGCATCAGTCAAGAGACTTGATAGCTGTTTCAGTCTCACTGAGGTAACTGTGAAGATCCTGCCCACGTGGATTAATCTGCTGAAATTAATCTGCTGGAAATTAATACAGAATACATTGCAGAAATTGTCTAGAATGCCAACAAAAGCTCTATTAAGAGTGAGCAATATTGTATATTAAGTCAAATGTGATATTTTCTCTCTGTCTTGCTCTCAGCTCTCTTTTAGAATATGACTCCCTTGCATGCTCCTCTCCCCCCCCCCCCCCAAATATAGGGCCCAGTATAATGGTTGGATATTACAGGAAGGCAATTTCTGATGAAATTTTGGGGAAAAACTTCCTAACTCTAGGAGCAGTTCCACCGTGATATAACTGTTACAATGCCATAGTGCATATGAAATAAAAAGAATATTTTTAAATTTCTAGGTTGTTATTTGTTTATTTCCCATCTTTATTATTTTTGCAAATGACTCAAGGCAGAGAACATATCTAATATTCCTTTCTCCTCCTCCTCATTTCCACATAATAACGCTGTGAGGTGTGTGTTGGGCAATGAGTATGACTGGTGCATGATCATTTAGCTGGCTTTCATGTCTTAAGGCAGGACTAGAACTCAAGTTTCCTGGTTGCTAGGCCAGCACCTTATCCAATACACCAAACTAGTTTTCCACATTAAAAGAAAATTAGGTAGATGCCCTTAATTAACTTAAGACGTACTTCTATCCCAAATGAGGGAGCTGACATTCCTTGAATCAGATATGTGGCATTTTTCTGCATGTTAATGGCTGGATAGATTCATCACAGGAAGTTTCAAAATAGTTTGTTTTGTACCAACATAGGCGAGTCCATTCATTAAGACCTAGCAGAATATGTGAATGAAGCCATATCGGCTTATTCAACTATGTTAAAAACCACAATGGTACCGTGTTAACCTCCTTTAGCATTTTAAATGTTTTTAATTGAAGTTTATCTTAATGTAAAATTCAAATAGAAATAAAGATAATAGGAGAAACGGGAAGGGAAAAGGGGAAAGGTAACGGGAGGAAATAAAAGCAGTGACTTTTTTCAGTTAAGTAAAGTACACATAAAATTAGAATCTCATTTTTTAATTTTTACATAATTAGTAAATACTACCTATTCTACAACAACAAGTGAATTTAACTTTTTTTTTGAATTTTTAAATTTAAATTGGAGGTATCAGGGGGGATCTGTTTGTGCCCAGGTATTTGCCTGACTTGTAGTGTGGAGATTTTTTTGTTTGTGAGTGCAGGCTTCCAAATGATTGACAGTCTGGTGGAATCATCTCTTCTGTTCATACTTTCAGGTCTTTTTTCAATCTCTATGGCCATATATATATTACATATATATATTTGAAGATCTTTATCCAATAGTTCTAAAAGAAAACTTCTGATTTAATTTTTTGCTTTTTTTCCAGAATCTTCTGAATTAAAGGATAAATCTACCTCCAATAATTCTTTGCTTTTTCCTAATTCTACCAAATATGATAAAAAGTACCTTCTTTACAATAACTAGCAGACATTTGAAACATCTTTATTCATCTTTGTCAGATTATCAGGTGTTGGGTACCAGTGATACAGAATTTTATATATATTTCAGGTTATTGTTCAGTGTAATTTCAGTTCCTTCACATGCAGTATTTTCTCAGTTCTGCAGCATTGGGACCAAGGTTGGGTGTTTTTTGTTTTGTTTTGTTCCACTGAATCATACAGTATTGAAACACATTTATTTTCCAAATTCAGCCTCAGTAAACACCACCCTGGATAAATGGCTTTATAGTCTCTTGATCACCTTCAGTATTCAAGCATCCAAAAGAATGTAGAATAATAGGGTTGAAAGGGACCTTAGAGCAGGGGTGTCAAACTCGCGGCCATTGGGCCAGATGCATCACACACTGGCCATGGCCGCCTCTGTTTTAGCAAAGGGTGGGAAAGTTCCACTGGTTAATTATTTTCACTTTCAGAAAATTTCTCCTTAGTGCTAGGATGGTTCTCTCTTTAATGATCTTCCACCCATTACTTATTGCCCAGCCGTAGTATTCTATGTTAATCATATTGAGAAGCATCCTTATTTTCCAGCAAAGTGACCTGTATCATTATACTATTCTTATTTTGGCAGGAAATATTTGGAACCAAGCAGTTTTTTCCCCAGAATACGCTTATAAAATGGCTTGCTACCCACGTGTGCGACCGTGTTTTACTTGATTATCTTTGTGGCAACGTTTTCTTTCTCATGTGTGGATTTAATGAGAAAAACCTAAACATGGTAAGAACATGAAATAAAGAGCCTAAATGCGTAAACTCTGTTTTGAAATGAAATGAATTAATCTGTGATATTTAAAAAAAAATAATATTGTGTATGTTATCAGACAGGCAAATACTCTTCTCTAAGCTTATTTCTCATCTATTTGGTAATGAAAGACTGAGAATCATGGGCAGCTTAAGAATGGCACGATGGAGTCTCTCAAATGCTAAAGACGAGGGAGTCAAGTTGTTTGATCATGAACAACTGAATCATGAGGATCTTTATTGGAGTCTAGTCTTGCATTTATACACCTTTTTAGTTATTCTCCATCACTGGTTAACTTTGGTTACTGCTTAACTTTCGTTACTGTTTAGCACAGTAATCCATACAATTAATTATCTCTAGTTAAAGTCTAACATATGTTTACTTCCTCTCTCTAATCCTCCTTTAGATTAGTGACTTTGTTTACCTGAGTTATATTTGCTTGGAAACATTCTTTATCTGAGGTTTGCCATCCAAGATTGGAACATTCCTGCAATTACAACTCTACATATCCTCGTTTTTTATTTTAAATGGAGGATTTAAAGACTTATGAATGTATTGCAATTGTAGAGGATTAAGAGAGAGGGAAGCAGGACGAAACAATGTGAATAAATTTGGAATACATTGAATAAAACAACAAGTTGCAATTAGTACAATAATAATAATTATAGCATAAAAGAAAAACTGTCTGAGCCAAGACCAATCAGGGAGCCAATTGGTTAGCCACTCAAAAGGTGAGTAATGAGCATGGATATTATTTTGAATGTATGATTGTAAATTGGCAAGCTCATCCTCAATAGTTTTATTCAAAGAAAAAAATGTTAAAAAGAAGTAATTTATATACTTGGTGATAGATTTAACAAACCATTTCACTGTTGTTTTCAGAGCCGAATAGATGTCTATTCCACACACTGCCCAGCTGGAACATCTGTCCAGAATATGCTTCATTGGATTCAGGTAGAGATGAAATCTCCAGGCTGATTGATTAATGCTTGCAGCAATGATGTTTAGGTTATTGGCTTGCATTGACGGGTCCTGATTCAAATGTTAGCTTTTACCTGTGTGGCAATTCTGCAGGTGCTCTTCTAGGAGGAAGACCAATTGAACTTTGGAGGTCTTACTTCTAAGGAAATTCCCTCAGCAGGAGGTGGATGTTAAGGTTACTCAGTGCCATTATTTGCACTAAATCCTGGATGCCTGCCAGGATGGGAAGACTTTGGAAAATATACACAGCTGTGTATTTTTCAAGGAATGGGCGGCTAACAAGTGTTACAGGAAAACACCTGATTGTTTTCTCTTCCTAAATATATTAAATACCTCAGAGCAGAAAGGCAGTAAATAGAATGAATGAATGAATTTTCTTGAAGGCATCCACACCTGTAAAAGTAACTTTATTTTCAGGTTAAAAAGTGTGGGGAAGTCAGAGCGTATGACTGGGGAAGCAGAAAGGAAAATATGGCTCATTATAAACAGGTAAGAATTTCCAGACACATTCGACCAAAGTATTATCAGATAACCAGTATACAGGTAGTCCTTGACCACAATTGAGCCCAGAATTTCTGATGCTAAACGAAACAGGTGTTAAGTGAATTTTGCCCCATTTTATGACATTTCTTGCCACCATAGTTGTTAAATTAGTAACATGGTTGTTAAGTAAATCTGGCTTCCCCATTGACCTTGCTTGCCAGAAAGTCAGAAAAGGTGAGCATGTGACCCTGGGACACTGCAAATAAATATGAGTCATAAGTATGAGTCAATTGCAAAGTGTCTGAATTTTGATCACATGACCACCAGGATGCTGCTATAGTGGTTGTAAGTGTGAAAAATGGTCATAGCCACTTTTTTCAGTGACGTTGAAACTTTGAATGGTCACTAAATGAACTGTTCCAAATTAAGGTCTACCTGTAATGTTGTTGTTGTTGTTTCTTCTTCTTCTTCTTCTTCTTCTTCTTCTTCTTCTTCTTCTTCTTCTTCTTCTTCTTCTTCTTCTTCTTCTTCTTCTTCTTCTTCTTCTTCTTCTTCTTCCTCCTCCTCCTCCTCCTCCTCCTCCTCCTCCTTCTCCTCTTCCCCCCCTCCTCCTCCCCCCTCTCCTTCTCCTTCTTTTTTTTTGCAAATACATAAGTTTTCTTGTGAATGCCTTACCCTAAGGCAGTGATGAGGTGTCCCCCTCCCCGCCACCCCCTGTTTATAATTGTGCTTACAGGGCAAAAAAATCCCCATTTGTATCTGCTTAGGGACTTAATCATCTGTGGAAACCTCTTTCAAATGAAGTGGCTAAAATGAGTGGCACAGATTGTAATGGTTGATTCTCAAACTGATGAAGATTCAGAAAACTGTCCTATATACAGTATAGAAAAGGAGAGTGGAAGCTGATCCCTTATCTACATTAAAAGAGCAGGGCCATCCTCATTTTGCTGGGTAATGTTAGAAGCCGTTCAGTTGCTGAAATTCTTTTTAAAAAAAAAACAATTTTATTGGTTTTTAAAGACAAACAAAACAAAAAAAAAACATCCAGCTTTCTTTCATAAATATACAAGCAGTGTGTCGGTTGGTTTACCAGTTTTTTTTGCATCCATTTCGTAGTCTCAATTACAGTTACATTACATAATAACTCATATTATCAATCAGAAATTAAATACCCTGGTATCATTATTAAACAACCATTTGACTATAATTTTATTCATTCATACTTTGCGAGATAACTATAATTTACTTAATTTATTTTATAACAAATCATATAATCATACCAAATCCTAAAAACATTATTATAGATATGATATCTTTATATATTCATTATTTCCTAGAATTCTAGATATTCTATTATTGTATTTTATTATCTAACCTTTGGTAGAAAAGGTCCCAAATTTTATAAAATTGTTTCAGTCCAGCTGCACTGAAAAAAAACACGCAGCGTCTGGAGGCTTTTTGCAGCAAAAATGACCAACCTCCAGCTTTTCTCTGCTTCTCCGATGCACCACTGCCGCCACGTTCTAGGCACCGACCATGAAGGCTCACCCCATTGACTGCTGCACCACTCTACTCGGACTTGCTTGGGCAAGTTCCTCCAGTGCAGTGGGCTCAATGGGGTGGACCTGTGGGGCCAGTACCTAGAATGCGGCTGCAGCTGCGCCTTGGAGAAGCAGAGCAAAGCCGGAGGTCAGTCATTTTTGCTGCAAAAAACCTCCAGCCGCTGCATTATTTTTTTTTCAGCAACAACAATGGCTCAGCCCTGGCTTGCCTTCCCTGGCAGCCAGCTGCGGGAGGAAGGCAAAGTGGTGGCCATGGAATGACGAAAGGGGCAGTCGTAGGGGAGTAAACTGGGAGATTAAGGCCTGGGGCCTCTGAAAGGGGAAACGGGGGTGATGCAGGATTAGCGCAGGCCTTTGATGGATTAGGCCATGCCTGCCTGGGCAGAAAATAGGTAGATAGGTTAAAGAAGGGAGAGAGAGAGGAAAAGAGAGAGAGAGAGAGAGAGAGGAGAAAGAAAGAGAGAGGGAATGGACAAGAAAGTAAAGAAAGAAAAAGGGAAAGAGAAATGAAGAGAAATGAAGAAAAGGAATAGACAAAGAAATGGGGGGGTGGAAGGAAGGGTCAGAAAGAAAGAAAGAGGGAAAGAGAGAGAAAAAGAAATAAAAGAGAGAAATAGGGTATGAAAGAGAGAAAGAGAAAGAAAGAAGGCAGGAAGGAAAGAGAGAGGGAGGGAGGGAGGAGAAAGTGAATGGGATATGGAGGGAGGGAAGGAGAGAGAGAGAAGGAAGAGAAAAGAAAGAGAAAAGGGAAAGAAAAAGAGAGAGAAAGGAAGAAAAAGGATAGACAAAGAAAGAGGGGGGAATGGAAGGAAGGGACAGAAAGAAAGAGGAAAGAAGGAAGGGAGGGAGGGAGGGAGAGAGGGAGGAGAAAGCGAATGAGATATCTAGTCCAATCACCTGCTCCAGCAGGGTTAGAAGGGGGTGTGTGTGTGTATGTGCGCGCATGCGCGCGCATGGTTGTCAAAGCTCCAAAACAGGTCAAGTAGCTCTGGGCAGGTCAGTCATAAATTAGAACACTTACTAAGCAACCGGCCATTAAGCGAGGACCACTTATATTTGGTTTGCCAATCACATGACCACCAAACCACGCCCATCCAGTCACATGACCAGCAAGCCATGCCCACCCAGCAAGCCACGCCCAGCCAGTCACATGACCATGAAGCCACACCCACAAATTAGGCCACACCCACAGAACCAGTTGTTCAGAAATTTGAATCCCACTCCTGGGTGATGAGTTTGTAGCACCAAGAGAGTGGTGGACTGAAAAAGTTTGGGAACCACTGATGTAGAGTAAGTAAGCACATTACAAGCCACCACTGTGCAGAAGCCATCTAATAAAACAAGAACAGGAAATACAGGAACAATAGAGATGAAACCTAGCGTGGCAATGTAATACAGGAAACAACTACAATAGAGAGGAATGATGGAGCTGCATATATGGTAGAGGTTCGTCCGGTATATGCAGCAGAGCTGGAGGGTGGGTATGGGCCACACATTCTCTCGGCCCCTTTGAATAAGACGCCCCTCCATTTTCAAGTAAATATTTTAAAGAAAAAGTAGCGTCTTATACACGTAAAAATACATTCATTTCTCCAGATGACTTGTTGAACAGATCTGGTGATCCTTGGCTTTCCAGTTGTTGCCAAACTACATCCTCAGCCAGTTTGCTCAGTGGTGACATCAGGATGAGAATCTCTTTGGATTTTTTTAACCATTATCTTTCCTTCTTTCTTAGCCAACACCACCTTCCTACAATTTGAAAGGAATGCTTGTTCCAACAGCTATATGGTCGGGTGGCCATGACTGGCTGGCAGACCCAAAGGACGTTGCCATGTTAATGACTATGATCCCAAATTTGATATACCACGAGGAGATCCCAGACTGGGAACATCTGGATTTCATCTGGGGCCTTGACGCCCCCCAGCGCATGTTCAGAGATATGATTCAGATGATGCGGAAAGTTCAGTATGCCCGTTGATTACTTGAAGTTGTAATCCCAAAACACCGATGCAGTTGTGAAAAGGAAGTCTTTCTTGCTACCTACGTAATAAGTATTATTCCATTACAAGCCTTCTTGCAATACCTTAAGAAATGGAAACTCTGCACTTGTCAAATAGGTGTTTATAATTCATGCAGTTTTAATGGAAAGGCAGAAAATAGGTAGGAAACGAAACCAAACCCCTGGCACTGCTGCTGCTCTTGCACCATTGAGATAATTTTTTAAATGGGAAGGAGGGAATGACGATTTATTGAACCTTGTTAATAACAATGATACTGAAGTTGTGAAAGCCATTTAATAATGGGTGTCCGTGTGTGATTTTCTTTTGTTGGAACAAATTCCTTTCAAAGTGCACTTAAATGTTGGTAAGTTTGCATAGTTTGGATATGGAATCAATAAGGATAATTAGTAATGGTTTAAATTTTGCGTTTGTGAAATTTACATTGACAGCTCGTTCCAAAGCACCCACTCCTTGTTTGCTTAAAAAGTGAAAGAAACACTTGGAAAACAAGCACCTTGGTTCTCTAAACACAAATGATCCTGGAAGGTGTTACAGAGTGGATTTCCTGCCTTTCCTGGTCCCAATAAATTGCTTCAGCCAGGGGTGGAGTGGGGTGGGTGGCATAGGCTGAGGCCAGAGTTGGGTGGTGGCATGCAGGCAGAAGTTCTGGGGAAAGGCTGAAGCAGCGGAATGGCGCTTCCCCTGACCTGCCTAGGTGAAGAGCGGGTGGAGGCTCCGGCAATGGTGCTTTCCCCAACCTAGCCTAAGTGAACAGCGAGCGAGTGGAGGCTCCCGGGCAAGGCCGGAGCAGGGGAATGGCATGACCCCAGGCCCTGACTCCAGGCGAAGGGAAAGCGAGCAGCATGCTTACCTTTGATGAGCAGAGCAGGTGAGGCATGGAGATTAGCTGGGCTGTGTGGCAAAGGCAAGATAGGGCGGGGCAAGTGGGGGCAAATGAGCAGCTGGCAGGACCATCTACAGGTGATATTTACCAGTGCTCCAAACTACTCAAAATTTCTGGAAGGGGAGAAAATTAATCTTATAAAACAAGCAAGAAGCCAACGAGAACAAGATTAAAAGTTAAATTTAACATGTGGAACGGCAGACAAGTTTGTTCAGCAAATCAGGACTTTCTCTATAGTGCGGAAGGGGAAATTGGCGGTGTTTGCCACCCGAATATGTGTTCATGACCAGATTCAAAAAAAATTTGAATTTTTTGTTTGAAACCCGATTTGGTCACAATCAGAAGCATTCGCTACCCGAGGTTCCACTGTAAATGGAAAGGATAAAAAAGAAATCTAAGATGGATGATGAATCAATCAATATTAAAAGATAAAGAATGTATTCAATTTATGGAAAAAGAATTAGATTTCTTTTTCAAAGAAAACAGAAAAGAAGAGCCCTCACTACAAAATTACCCTAAAATACCTGAAACAGTAAAGTTATGTTAGATGAATGTATAACGATGGAACTAACAGAAGCAAGTAAGAGACAAAAAAACAGGAAAACACTGGGTCCAGATGCGGTGCCAGCAGAACTTTATAAAGCCTTGGAAAATACTTTGAGTAAACCAACGTTGGAAGTCTTTAATGAAGTATTATTAGACTTCATGGACTGAAGCATATATTATGCTCATACCAAAGGAAGACTCAGACTTGCTACAGATAAAAAACTACAGACTGATATTTTTATTGAATGCAGACTATAAAATATATGCTTCAATAATTGCGGAAAGACTTAAAAGATTTTTAAATCAATTTGTAAATTCAGACAAAATGGATTTTTGCCTAAGAGACAAATTGAAGACAATATGAGAATAATCTACCAGTCTGGCTCTCGACAATGGAAGCACTGGTTCACCCAAATGTTAACATAGAAAATATTGTTAAATATAAAGATACACTGAATGTGAAGGGGGAACTTAAAAATAAACAAGAACTGAGCCATAAGGGATTGACTTGACACAATACTCACAACTGCAGATGCATTCTAGATATGAGAAAGGCAGAAAACTATATGGTTTTTACACAGAACCAACAGAATTAGATATTAACAGGTAAAAGAAAAACTGATTTAAAAACGTATAGTTACTTATACATTAAATTGGAAGAGGAACAAGTAAAAGAATAATAGCATGGGCAAAATTTTTTGGTTACACCAAATGATCAGGGCCTGGTCATCCTGTGCTGGGCCGAGGTATTCTGGGCCAGTCCTTTGTAGTTTCAGGGCTGGTGCAATGGACTGGATCTAACCACCTCATGGGCCAGATCCAGGCCACAGGCCTTGAGTTTGACACCCCTGCTTTAAGGCCTTGGCCTTGCCAGTATAGCAACCATTTGCTATAAAAGCTGAAGAGAGAGAAAGCTAGGAGTGTTTTTTATGTGTTTGTGGAAATAAAGCTGCCAAAACAGATACTGTCCTCCAGCAATAGGACTCAAAAGGGATAGTTTGAGAAGGAGTAACAGTAGTTAAGAGTGGAGTAGAACAGTGCATACTAGCACTACTAGTAACTACTAGTAACAGTAGTTAAGAGTGGAGTAGAACAGTGCATACTAGCCTGCTAATGCTTGTGTGTGTGTGTGGTGTGTGTGTGTTGCCAAAGAACCCTTCTTGTGTTGGCCCTCATGTTTTGGAGTCAACTGACTGGGATACACTTAAAAAGAAACTTGTGACACTATAAAGACTTGTCTTCAAGGCATGACAAGAACTGGGCGTTTGCAATTAATATAATTGCAAATATAACTAATAACCTAGCTCAGAAATACAGGTATGACCACAACTGAGCCAAAAAGTTATGTTGTTAGTGAGACATCTGTTAAGTGAGTTTTCCCCCGTTTTACTATTTTTCTCGCCATAGCTGTTTGGTGAATCACTACAGTTAGTAAGTTAGTAAGACATGTTGGAAGAAAAATCCGGTCTAGTTCCAGGCCGGGAGAAAGGTGCTGGAAATAAAATGGAGGTTGATTGGAAAGGACTCTGCTTATTTATATTTATATTTATTTTATTTATTTATTTTATTTTTGTCAAGCAATTATAAGATAACAGGTATAAGTATAAACATAGTTATGAATACATGAAATTGATATGAATAAGAAAAACAATAGGACAGGGATGATAGGTAGGCACGTTGGTGTGCGTATGCATGCTCCCTAATTATTGATTAATTAATTACTGCTTATTGATCAGCAGACCCAATAACATCATGTTATGGGACAGCTGACAAATTGGTTTGAGAAGAACATGGATTTTTATAGGGTTGTAAGATGCTGCAGGCGGTTGTATAATGTCTGAAATACTCCTAGGGGGTTGTGCAATGTAGTGAGCCTTGTGTCCTTTGCTATTCTAATGGTGGTGGATTAATCCCATTATATCCTAAACATCACGAACTGTTCTTAGAATTTGGATGAGGGATGTAAATCCTTATTCCCATCATCTGGAGCTGAAGGTGTTTTGTTTGGGAATAGGTTGAGGTGGGTTTCTCAATGGGCACAAAATATTCATCTCTAAAGACTTCAGGCATCTGTTGGGGCTGCTTTCTGCCTTTATTAAGATTTTGCTCCATTTCTCCTTTGGGGAAATATAATATTCTGTTTCTTTTAATATTCCTCAAAATATTTCATTCTCTAGGACATATGTGCGCGTGCTTGATTACTTCTTACAACGGTTATTAAACTCCTTTGACTTTGCTGATCAAAAGCTTGCAAAAGGTGATCACATGACCTTGGGTCATGGTCATAAATATGAACCAGTTGCCAAGCATGGTGGGAGCCATGCTGCCAAGGTCGCGAGTGTGAAAAATGGTCACAAGTCACTTCTTTCAGTGCCAAGTTGTAACTTTGAACGGTCACTGAAGGAGCTGCCCGTATGTTCAGGCAGGGCCGCGGGGCGGGGCGGGGGGGGGGGCAGCATCTTGTGCCAGCCGCTCTATGGTTGCTGAGGGCCCAGCTGCAGAGCGGAGGAGGCGGCTGCCCTCTTTCCGTCCCTTCGCAGGAGCCTCGTCAGGGGGGAAACGTCCCGAGAAGCGCTTTAGCACCAGCCGCCCTGCGCGCGACAGCGGCAGCAAAGCGTAAAAATGGCACGAAAGGAGACGAGGCGCCAAGAGAAGACAGGGAGGCGATTCCCTCAGTTTCACTTCGCTCCCAGCTCCACTCCGGTCCCTGTCAGGGGTGTGAGGGGCGGAGCGTACTTTCTCCCAGAGAACGCTGATTGGGCAATACGCATAGCCTGAGAGGCGTGGTTTGGCCTTCGCTGCGATGCCGGGGCGGAGCGCTTAAAAACAACCCCGGAGTCAGCGCGGGCGAGGTTTCTCCTCCTCTGCCTTCGCCGTCTGGTCGCTTCCCGGTGAGTTTCTGGCTGCTCTTTTCCTCGTTTAGCTGCAGGGCGCCAGGGCGTGACTCGAGGGGAAGCCCCGATCAAATCGTTGCATATGAAGCTTCCCAGGAAAATGGGATGCGGGGAGGGTGGTTGGGAAACGTGTTTTCCATCGGGTTGGCGGCTCTTCAAATGCCATTAAGGGCCTTCTTTGGGGAGGTGAAGAAACTTAATGTGGTGTGTCCCAAAGGTGCTTTTTTCGAGAGGCAGCTGGACTTTCTTGGTTTTTTTTTCTTTTGAAGACATTTCTCTTCTCATCCAAGCAGCTTCTTCAGCTCTGCCAGGACAGTGAGGATTGGAGGAATTGATATTCGTTGCAGACAGCTGGTAATCTGCATCCTTTAGGAGACCAGCTGTCTGCCAGGAATGTCAGTCCTTCCATTCCTCACTGTCCTGGCAGAGCTGAAGAAGCTGCTTGGATGAGAAGAGAAAAAGGGCAGCTTAAACCTTGTTGAAGGTGTGTGTGCTTCCATCCATCTCTCAGACTCTTCCCTACCTAAAAAGCTTCTTACATGTGGGGTCTGTACAGCCCAAGACAGCAGTTGAACACTAGTATTGAATGCATAAAGTTGAAAGGATGGAAAATTACAAGTCCTAAAAATATTTTTAAGGTCAGAACTGTTTCGTTTGCTACTTCTAATTCTGGTCATGAGACGTTTTTATTGCAGAAGAAGAACAAGAAGAAGTGTGTCTCAATTGGAATCCTTTGGCTTCCCCTTTGTAATATGTTTTGCATTTTCAGCAGCAGCAGCAGGGATTTTTACGGAGGCAGGGGAATTGTGTAGCCTGTCATGAGACTTGTGAAATGCTGCCCCCCCCCAAAAAAACAAACAAACAAAAAAAGGAACAGGCCTTCTGGAGGAAAGGTAGCTCCACCATTGAAGACAACATCCTCTTTGAATAAGGAATGAACAAGTGTTTTATCACTTGTTTCTATTTTATCTTCTGAAAAATGCCACAGGTATTGGTGATTGAGCTACATTCCCGCTCCAGTTTTACTCTTTCTCTTTCTCTCTCGTAAAAGCCTCTTCTTGAGTCTTTTCACATCCACTGTATCTTGAGCTATTTTTGGAGTCCTTTACTACTCCATACTTTAATTGCCTCCTTTTGGGAGGGGCAGGTTTTTCTTTTGTGGAGATTTTCCTGAGCAGTCTTGTCTCCTCACCCCCCAGTGTATAAATGGTGCTGTATGTGATTATTAGAATTTGAGATGTGAACTTGCAATTACTATATAGACATAGAAAGAAAGTACAAGGACTAGGCTGGGTCAGATCAAAATTCTCTGTAGCACAGTAACCGGAGTAACCAGACATTAGAAATTGTGCAAGCAGAATAGTTCCGTTCTTGTTGATTGAGGAAATACTTTATAACGATTTGAAAATAGTTTTTGCTTTTTTTGCTGGGTTTTTAACTTCCCAGTCTAATATTCATCCCTGAGGTTTCCTAATGGTCTCATGTCCATGTAGTTAGATCCGACTTTATTTATCTTTTAAAAGTTCAGCCAAGCTAGCCAACTAGATTTTCAGCATGTAGAGGCCTATTTATCTGTTCTGATATTGATCTTGTGTTCCTGGAAACTTCAGTTTTTGATACATACATTGAAAACTCAACATTTGCAAATGTTTAGATAAGTAACATGGATTTGTGGTGATGTTAATGTCCGTCCCCCCCTTAACTTTTAATGTCCGGTAACTGGAAACTGGTAGCAATCATTGAGATGATATGTGTGTGTACGTGATATGTTTATTGCTTGAAATGATAGCACTGCACTGTGATGTAGCAGTTATGGTGTATTATAGAACCAGACAATGCTTACTCCAGTCCACCTTCAACCATGGAAATTCCTTGGGTAACTAGGTCAATCAGCCAAGCCTACCTCACGGGGTTGTTGTAGGGAAAAATCAGAGAAAGGAGTGCTTTGTAATTTTTCTTGAGTTTCATGAGGAAAAACAAGATATAAAATCAAGAAAGAAAGCTGTTCAGGTAATGCTGTACCTTATGGCCTAGATCAAGGGTCTCTAACTCCCCTGGTCCACGGGGCCATTTCATGCTAGAAACTGGGCCAAGCAAACAAGCGAAGCCCCATCTGTGGGATGCATGCAGCACTCAAATCCATGCCCCATCCAGTCTACAGAAAAACCTTTCTCCACATAACCCATCCCTGATGCCCAAATTGATCCCTTGGGTGCCTCTGGCCTAAGATGATAATGCTGATTTTACCGATTGTCTCCCTGTCAGAGATTAATGAGGGCAACTAGTTCTATTAAATCGGGGAGCGGGTTGCATGAAGGGTGGCTTAGCCAATCTCATTGAACACATGTACTCTGACAATAAAGATAATAATAATAAGAGGTGTGGATTTCAATTCCTAGAATTCCACAGCCTCTAACAATAATGGAGCATTTTTTTCTGTTCTAGGCAAACACTGGGTTTTTTTTGCCACAGCTCTGAGTATCAGCTGAGTGTAAATTAGTTTAAGCCGCTTTTAACTCATGTTTCTGTATAGAACATAAGAGAGCTGCAGCTTCACAGTCTTAATGTGGGTGTTAGAGGAAGTTGATTAAGATTGTACAATGTTTGTGGTGGTATAGACTTGCATATTTGTGCTGAGAAGATGACCTCTCTCTCTCTTTTTTTGCTAGAGATAAGATGTGGCTGCTAATAATCGCAGTGAGCTTGTTCCAAGGCCTGGTAAATTCAGCAATGCTTGACAGGAGAAAAAGTGATGTGAATCCAGAAACATCCATGAACATTGTAAGTTGTTACTATTATCACTTCAATTTCAGACTATTTCAGTGATTGGTACTGCATATTAAGTCCGTGATGAATCTTTTCATGAAGTTTGATCTTCATTGAAAATTTGGACTGCAGAGGAAAAACACTCTGTTCTTAAGCAAATTTTCCGCAATTGGGAGCAGTTTAAAACAAGTAAAGCAAAACAATGCAATAAACTGCAGAATTTGTAAAGTGCTCAGTGGTGAGTTGAGTTCTTGTGAGATACATATCCAAACCGGCAAGCATGTAGAAGAAGAGGGAGAGCCCAATGAAAGAAAACGTTAAAAAATTATGATATTTATGTAGTTACTTACCAAATACATCTAAATTATATCAAACCAAAATATCTTTACAATCCCCAAGTCATGTCACAACTTTTGAGCATCCCTAATGTTTGGAAACTTCAAGTTGAAAAATTTGACCTGCCTCACTGGGGATGGTATTAAAAGAGTTATCAGTATGGAGTTGTTCGGTTGCCACAAACAATCCAATGCTCCACGAATTCCTTTGACTCATATCTAATGCCAACTTAGTACTATCCATTGATTGCCTAGGTTCTTGTGAATAGGGTTCAGCAATAAAATTTCTGAACTGCCACCTAATGTATGGTCCTGATTCTTTTCACCTGATTGAATGTTCCTGATTTTCATTGTAAGCCAAAAGTCAGCGCGTTTACCATGCATGTGATTGGATGTACATATGACTCCCATTGTATCTGTCTTTTACAATAGGTACATAGAGTGACATATGGACACTGCCTCTCGGCAGTTGCTAAACATTAGTCAACTGTGAAGGCTGAAGCATGTTGATGGTTGCCAAAGCTATTGGTCAAGTACACAGATGAATTGCTTCAGCTTTATTGCTTAGTTTTTGTTCAACAATCATATTACGTAGCTGATTTGCATATTAATAGAATTTTTTAATGTTGCATTTAAAAAAAACTTTGTGATTTTTCCCTATCCTTTTGTACATTGAATTTGCTGTTTTATATGTTTTTAGATAAGTGAAAAAAGATTTGTAGGCCTGTCTTTTCCAACCTCTCTAGGTATTTTGAGAGAGTAGAAAGATGGAAATTAGCCCTAAAATGTAAGGTGGTCTAATTACAAGCTTGCTCCAAACAGAAGGAAAAAAATTCTACCAGATTATATTTTCTTGAAACCAATAAAGGGTAAATCTGGAAAAAGTACAAAAATAATTGTTTATGTTTATCACTTGCTTTACAAAGGACAATTCTAGAAGAAAACCAAGAAAATAAATAATTGAATTAAATCTAATGGACAGCTTTCTGAAATAAAGGACTGGGTTGTTGTTTTTTTATAATAAGGACAAATGGACAGTGCATATGTGCAATGCGGCCAGAGTGCACACAGAAAGTTTAAGATGATGGCATGATAATGTGGTTGAAGGTCCCACCCAACATGCAGTGCACATAAAAACAGTCCATGCTTTGTTCTTATTGTCATAGCCACCTTCTCCTAGATCTGCAGAAACACCTGAATTTAACTTTGTCTTTTGCATTGACATCCTACCAATTGCCATCCTTAACCCTCCATAACCATTAAGGTTGATCGCCAAAATGTTATTTACCCCAATTGCTAAGCTTTAAAGAAAAGAAGGTTTTCAAAGAAGGAGCTAAAACTTTCCAGTACTAAAATAAGGCTGGGGGAAATAGTTTATTAAAGCATTGGAGTCGGATACCTGGGTAGGTTTTCTCCAGTTTGTGTGAAGGGTTGACTTCTGATTCCTGATTTTAATTCACATATACTTTGCTTTCTTATTCTATCAAGTGTCAAGTGGCTAACTTAAAAAATGAATTAAAATGACAGACTCTGTTGAGTTAAGAAGAGACTATAATATTGCTACTGAAATGAACAAAAGCCCTGCCTAAAAAGGGCAGCTTTGGTCTCATGGTTAAGACACCAATTTAGAAACCAAGAGACCGAGTTCCAGTCCTGCTTTAGGCATGAAAGCTGTATGGGTGACTTTGGGCCAGTCTCTTTCTCTCAGCCCAACCCATTCCCAGAGTTATGATTGCGGGGAAGATAGGATGAGAAGGGAGTATAAAGGTATATTTGTTGCATTGAGTTACTTATAAAAATAATAAAGATGGAATAAAAATAAATAAAAAGTTTTCAGGTTTCCTCCATGTTGAATGAATGAAGATCAGTGCCATTGATTAGAAATTCACCTTCCAGAGAAACTACTATATTATTGGTACATCTCTACATCTACAGATCTTAATAGTTGGGTTGTTCCAAAGAGTAGTAGTAATAATGCTTAAAGAGGGCTGTAAAGCCCTGTGTATCAGTATATAAGGCCACGTGTTATTGTAAGCACTGGACAAGCAATCCAGATTTTTTCAATATAGACATTTTGTAGAGTAGTTGTCACATTTGGCACCAGTAGTTACTTTTGAATGCTTTTCAAGGGTGGTTCTTCTTACAGTAATGCAGAAGATATGTTTGTATGTATACATGGCTATCTATGATATCTGTGTCAATCAGTAGCAACAGAGTAATAATAGTGGTCAAGTTTGAATCAGTTAGCCACTTATCACTATTCAACTTACCAAATACTGCGGGGAGGGATTGTTGAGAATTCAGACACTCCAAGAATAGACTGTGTAAGCCGAGACACACCAAGGTCACTACTGCAGGTGTCCGACAAAGACAAAACAAAAGCCTTATTCATTATTGGACGGTGTGATCATGATGAGGAAGGGAAATCCAATGTTTACCTATGCAGTGTTGCACGGGAAAAAACATAGAGAGCAGGTTTTAATTTCTCAGTGCCAAAAAGGTGTACTCAAAAGTTTCACTTTGGGAATTTTGAAGGTTCCGAGAGTGCTTGCGTTCTTTGGGTCTGCTAGTTGGACTATTGACAGTAGCAATAACTGTAATATTAAATGAACTTTTTAATGTTTACCATAAAACCTTTGTGACTTTTTTTTTCATCCTTTGATATATAGAATTTGCTTTTTAAATGATGTGTGTTTAGATAAGAGAAATAAAATATCTAGGCCAGCCTTTTTCAGCCTCTGTAGATATTTTAAGCCAACAAACTTCAAAATTCCTAGCCAGCGTTGCTAAAAGTTTGCAATACTAGGAATAGCGGTCCAAAGCATTGTGAGAACATTAAATGGGTGAAGGCTGGCCTAGGCACTTTAGAATAACTGAATAATGAACAACACTATCTTTGATTTGTTTCTCTTTTAGAGTGAAATTATTTTATTCAGAGGATATCCCAGTGAGGAATATGAGGTGGTGACAGATGATGGATATTACCTAAGTATTAATAGAATTCCTTATGGGAAAATAAGTCAGAAAACCAAGGGTGAGTATGTGTTTGTAAACAGATAGTAGAGTATTATGAAAGTATATAAATCACTTAAAAATATTGTCTGTCCTTGTTAAAGTGATTGTTTCCTATTTCCAATATATTTTAATTTGTTTAATTACTCTGCTCAGTTCAATAAGGGCATT